AAACCAGTTCCACACCAGTGAAGCTGCAGCATTTTCACAAACCAGTTCTGGTTCATCCGTCTCATTCAACGATCCGCGTTCGCCCTTCTTATTCTTCTTATTCTGCGTCGCCGCCATGTGCGTATGCAAACAAAGGCACTGCGCATGCGCGTGTTACCCATATTCTACAACATTATACCAGTATTACAATGAAAGGTGTGATATGGCCCAGCCCTACCTTCAGCTACGTCTCATGGTCTTCATTACATTCAACAGGGAAACTTAGAGTCACCTGGAGCCTGTCTTCTACCTGTGTACACCAACTGTGACCAAAGGTTTGAGAGAGTTGGGTGAAAGAGCTCCACTGAAATTCAATATGTTAGTCATTATTATTAAAGACATAAACATGTTTGATGGTCTGCACTAGTTTTCCTAGTGTTAGTGGACTGAGGTCCTTTTCAAGCATCTGACAGGTCTCCAGAGATGATTCCTTCCTGGTTCAACTGCTTCCACATTAAAATGACTTCAGAGCCACATAAGTGTGAAAGTCTCCTGCATGTACGCAGCCACACTATGAATCTGTGCGCAGCTGCAGTCTCCCAGCAGCCTCTGAGCTGTGTGCTCCTGTTGGTTTCACAATAAGGCTGCTTTCTCCTGAACACACTGTGCAGGCTCACTGTTCACATAACTTTGCTTTTGGGTAAGCAGTTGTGTGAATGAGAGGAGGCTGTGTGTGAAAGGCTTTGAAACACACGCTCACGGGCAAGAAGAATCTGTCATGACAGTGAGTCGACTGTGACTAATTACAGGCCCTGCAGCTCCACGCCCTGCCTCCTCACCGAGTTCAACAAATGCAACAACATAACGAGCTGCTGAGGAATTCAGCCTGTCAGAGAGCCTCTGTTAGCCTCCTGAAGGCCTTATTTACACGACTCGGTTATGTGCTCGCCCTCATACGCTACGAGCCGTGAGCCATATCTAATGTCAATATTGTCTGTGTGTCTGGAAGTTGCACAAGGTAAAGGTTGTAGAAAACATAAGGAGTGTCTGACCGTGGTGTGTGAAGGTCAGCAGGTTGGTAACAGAGACGTGAACAACGTGAATTTGATTTTTTTCATCCTTTGGACAGTTTTCATGTCTCAGAGAGGCGACGAGTCTCTAACATTCATGTCTCAGTGATTTCCAGTGTTGGGACTAACGCGTTATTAAGTAACGCGTTACAGTAACTACGTTATTATTGTGGTAACGAGCACGGTAACTAGTTATTGTGCCAAAATCAGGAACGCGTTACTCGTTACTGGGATTTAGATAGGCTCGTTACTCGTTACTTCGTGTGGTGGCATCGCGGAGCTTCCACAGATTCAGTAACATTAGCAAGTGGTGGAGGCCAGCAGGTGGATGAAGGAAAGGGGAGGCAGGAGGAGAGACCCGAAGCAGCCGCCGGTCCAAGTGTGAACTGAACCTCAGGTAAGAAGTTATGACCTGCAGTCTCTCTGGGTCAGATATGAACCAAGTTTAGGTGGAGTTTATTTTTGTTATGCTGACTTTTTACAGTCAGTTACAATAACTCGTACTGCGTGCTAGCTAGCTTGACGGAGTTTCTATACAGCTGGGTGGTGCTATGTTACTGATGTTGAACTTTATTTTGTTCGTAGGTTAATTATTAGAGTTGCCAACCGTCCCGTAAAAAACAGAATCGTCTGGTATTCAGAGAAAATATTACGCGTTTCGTATTGAGGTGAAAAGGAACAGTTTGTCCTGGACTTCAGCTACAATGAAAAAGACACAAAGCTGCCTCTTCTCCTCTCATTCTCTCCTGTTTCTACTTCAGTCATGAAACTGATCAATGATCAGCTGATCGTCTCTCTTGTTTGTTTATCGCCGACTTTGCGCCAGAAAGAGGAAACCAGCGGATGTCGTGCTAAACAACAGCAGCACGTTAAGCTTGATCAGCTGTTGTTAGAATTTATTTAATATTAATTTCTAGTATCAGCTGATGTTTGCTGGAGCCACAGCTGGAAAGCTGCTGGTCATGATATGGTTTGTATATCTGGTGAGAGGGAAACATGAAGATGAAACCAGGAGATGTTCTTACTGAATCATCAGAGCTGTGATGGAGAAACAGGTTTACCTTTTAGGTGACATGAATGAGTTGAAGGGAAGTGATGAACTGTTTCTGAGAGACAAATAACCGCAGGATCCTTTTTTAGGTAGCTGACAGCTGGTAACTGTACAGGGGCGGGTCTAGCAAAGTGTTGCCAGGGGTCCATGTAGGGCATTAACAGGGAGAGGGGGCACAAAGAAATACTTTTCTTTCTTATTCTCATTTAAAATGTCTAGCTTTTAATAAATAATTATCTGAATCTTACAACAACGATTGATAGATTGATGCATATATACCATCAGAACAGTGAACATCACTGTCACAACAGCGTTTGTTTTCATTCAAAGGCTTTATGATTCTTCCTATAATGGTGGGCCGGTCTGTAGTCAAAATGCCCGGGACGATTTTCTGTCCCAGTCCAGCCCTGTATGCAGCTCATCTGCAGTCTGGTGTTGCCCACATCTTCCTATTCAGAAGCAGAATTTCTGAGTTCTAAGTACAATCAAAGCACCACGACTGCAGTTTTTTGTGTTGGATGTAAAAAGCTAGGATAGAACCAGGCGTGGGATTTCTCTCGTGGAAATATGCACATTATCTTTTCCTTTCTGTTGGTAGGTGGCACAGTGCACTGTGGCAGGATAGTGTTAACATGTAGGCAAGCTAGAAGACTGGCAAAGTTATGGAAGCAACACATTAACAAGAGAATTCTGAGTTAAACCAAAGTTACTTTCCCTAGTAACTAGTTACTCTGAAAGTAACGAGTAACTTGAAGTAACTGAGTTACTTTTGATAGAAGTAACTAGTAATGTAACTAAGTTACTATTTTAAAGTAACTTACCCAACACTGGTGATTTCATCCTGCTCTTGTGTGGTGACAACTGCAGTCTCATCGTCCTCCTGTGTTTTAATAAACACCAGGGCAAGTGTGCATCATTTACACTATGACATATGCTTTATACATCTGCAGCTGTAAGCTAGCTTTCTCCTGATTGGTCGGCACTCACAAACAGAAGGTGGGTGGGGCTCATAGACAGTATGGCTCTCTTCTCTTTTAGTATATATTAGGCATATTTGCATTTGTTTACATGCATTTCTGTTCATGTATGTGTTCGTGTATCCACTTTTCCAAAGGTATAATGTGCATTTTCACATTTTCTGTCACATGACCATATCAAAGATGGCTGACACGTCAGATCCATGAGCGTATCAATACTCGCTGTGAATAAAAGCCCAAGTTATAGAGCACTCGAAACGGACTCTAGATCAGATATGGTCACCACGGGCACAGCAGCACCATCTACACGCTACTGTGGATAAATCCACTCCCAGTCCTTACACTATAGTCCCTTTGCTCCTTACAAACTGTTGGTTGGCCTGCCATGTTTATTCATTCGGGTCCAGACTCGGGTCCAGACTCGGGTCCAGACTCGGGTCCAGACTCGGGTCCAGACTCGGGTTGAGCAGCCCCCCGCTGCTCAGGACAAAAACGCAGCGTTTTGAAAACGCTCTCCAAAGCAGACACATTTAAAACGGTGCTTTCGTGTCAGTGTGGACAGCGAAAACTGAGACTTTTTGAAAACAATGACACATTTTAGTCATGTGATGCAGTCATGTGACCAATTAAACTAAGATAGTGAAGGGTATTATACTGCAGTTGTTTTGTTTGCTCTCAGGTTTGTCAGCCCTAGTATTCTCCCTGGCTTTTGCACCTTTGTACTTTTGTGTTACTCGCAGCAACAACTCCACCTCGTTGTTAGTCCATGTAAAAAGCTCGCTGCTTTTCCTCAACATTTTGCCGAAGTTTCAAAGAGCAGCAGACAGGAATGAGACCGGCCCAATCTTCTTGCGTTTCACGCATGTGCAGGACTGGAACGTGAGCGTTTTGGGCCGTTTCAATGTGGACGCACAACTCTGTGAAAAGGACAAAACGACAGTGTGGACGCCGAGCGGAAGCATCGTTTTCACATCTATCCGAGCCAGCGTGGACGCAGCCTCAGTTATTTTAATGAGGTCTTCGTACTGAAACTAAACTTCAGACGTACATGTTTAAAACAGCGGCACTGTTGGCTCACACAGTGAATCCTACCTGACCGCTCAAAGATGGATGAGCAGCCTAACAGCACCAGAGCCTTTCATGGATATATACAGTAAAAAATATTTTACTATTATTTTGATATTTTTAAAATGCAGTTTCACCCCAAACAAACACTTGATTGTCGTAGGGAGACATGTTGGCGTAACTAACCAGAACCTGCCGTGGAGCGCTCTGCAGGACCTCTGAGCCTGTAGAGGTTTAAACAGTCTCAGTGTGCAGATCTGATGCTGCCCCCGTGTCTCAGTGGGAGGTACAGGATGTGACCTGGCACGCAGACAGAGGGCACGTCGTCTCAGGCCATCCTACTCGGTCGATGTCACTCTGTCTTTAGCTTATAAAAAATACCCGTCTGTAATTACACGCCTTCTCACGCAGGCACAAACACACACAAAGGCTTTTTAAGGACGATTTCCATTCAGAGCGGCAGACAAGTTCAAGATGTCTACGGCGCTCCCTCGGCCCCTCTGCTCAGTTTAGGAAACAACAAACAATGCGGTTGCTACGGGGCCCCGTGAGCCCCCCGAGAGAGACCGCATGTCAGCAGCAGTCTGGACAGCCAACGGCCAGGCTGCAGACAGTTTGCAAGCAAACACGCAGACCGTGCAATCGGTGCACCGTGCTCCTCCTGCAGGACACACACATTAGAGATAGCCGAGAGTATCTGCAGCACCTCCTCTGCTGATAATCACACTCATGAAAGAGCTTCAGCCACTTTCTCTCTCACTGGGAAGATCAGATCTGTGCTGTAAAAGTTTGACACCAATCATTCATGAATCTCTAGACGGTTCTCTGGAACGAATAATTAGTTAATAAAGTAATGAAAATGCCTGACACAGTCTTAAGCCCAGCGGGGAGACACTGAACCTCTAACAGTTACTACTGCTCACTCATCTCCACGTCTGCAAGGACCACGGAAATTAGACTGTTCAGGAAATTCATATGAAACAAGAGAGCTGGTTTGTTCAGCCTGTAGAGGTTTAATGCAGGCCCAGTGTTACACCATCAGCTGATGAGCTAACGAGTTCATTAATACAGTGCGTCTGTCATCACAGTTTGTGACTTTAGGCCTTTGAAAAGTCTTCTCCATGAATTAAAGCTACTGAATTAAAAAAGAGGATTACGAGATGAAAACCGTAAAAGGATCTGTCAGGATTATCAGCAACAACTCAGCTGGAAGAAAACACTGATCAGCTGACACGGCGCATCCATAAGCTGTTTTTTTAAAGACCGCTGAGTAACAACGGCACATCCCCGCTGAGGTACGGTCCCGACTCACCAGCCTCTCCATCTCCTGCTCGCGGAGCCTCTCCTCTCTCTGTCGTCGGTGGTACTCCAGCAGATCGTCCTCGTTGTCGCTGATCTCTGTGATGCTGTTCTTCCTCTCCCTCATACCGGGGTGCGGTCTCCCTGCAGACATCTTTCTGTGGGTCCTTGGGCTGGCTACAGGAGAGGAACCCGGCAACGAGCCCAGACTGTAAGCAGGCGACAAGGAATTCCCAAAGCTCGCTTTCCGTACCCCTGCACCCCCGACGCTGCCCTCCGTCAACAACGAGGTAGGGGATGGGCTGCGAGCTCGGATGCCTCTGCTGCAAGTCTGCTCCTCTGACTTGCGCCGAAGTCTGGGGCTCTCTGGAACAACCTTGCCCAGATTTGAGGGGCTGTCCAGAGTCCTCAGTGGGTTCACCGTGCCCGGAAGTGCCCCTGGGAGAACTGGAACCCCTCTGCGAGCCAAGGAGGGGCTTAAAGGTGGCAACTCTCTCATACTGCTGCCTGCTCCACCGCCCCCGTTCACCTCCACGTTCCTCCGGGCCAAGCGAGGGCTTTCCGGGGGCTGCAACGAGCGCGGATGCTGCTGGAGAGGTGATCCTTGGATTATGTGGACGATGGGGTCCAGGGGAGGCTGGAACGCTCTGGTGGGTTGAGAAAGCTGCCTGGAGGGGCTGGAAGTGAGAGAGCGATCGGCCAGAGGGGCGTGCTCTCTGAAGGGGCTGGCAGGTCTTTCCTGGAGCACTGTGGTAGTCTTGGTCCTGGGGCTGGAGGGCGACGGGGATGAACAGGTCGGAAACTTGGGTGTGGGCCTGGGGCTACTTGGCACAGCGTTTCTACCGCTAAGAGATTCACTGGAGGACAGAAGGGGGGTCTGCCGAGGGCTCTCAGACCCAGCTTGGCCCAGTCCTGTGTGGCTTGGCTTGGGGCTTGGAGGAGCCTCCGTTAAGACCTTTCGCGGCAACCTGGGGCTTTCCTGAACCTTTTGGCTCACCCCACTGCTGCTGAAGTTAGGCAGTATGGTCCGTGGCTGGGGTACCGGCGGAGGCTGGGCGGTGAAGTTGTAGCTAGAGGAGCGTACAGGCACTGGCGGCAGAGAAGAACTCTGGTCCTGGGGTCCTCCACTAGGAGATGGACTGGTAAAGCTTCCACTGCTGGCTGCTGAGGGGGAGGACAGTGGGGAAAAAGGAGGCGATGTGTTCTCATAGCTGGACCCCACAGACATGGCCCCTGGGCTGGTAGGAGGCGATAACAGATACCGGCCCCCTCCGTTGACCATGGGCGACAGAGGAGAGTGAGCTGCGGACTGGCCTCCGGGAGGCTTCATGGCGTCCGATGAAGAAGGCTGAGGGTCATCCATGACTAGAGAATCCATGATCTCCTGGAGGTCCCTCTCAATAGAGCTGACGATAGCGCTGTGCTCGGATTGGACTTTCTCTCCAGGAGCTGGGGGACACTGGGCTGCACTGGGCTGGTGATTCCCATTGACCAAGCTCTCTGTGTCTAGAGGGAAAGCAGAGAGAATAAAACGGGCATCAGACAGGTATTCAAACAGAGTCAACGATATCCTGCACCTCAATAACTCCCCCAGCTCCACCACATGCCCCGGCTCATTAGATATCACACAAAGAAAACATTTGCAGTGGGGCAGCGACGGCATTTTCATAATTCTAACAGCAGCAGCAAAAACAGACTGTTCAGGATACACTGTGCATCATGGCACGACTTAAACAGCAAAGCAGCAGTGATGAGGGTCCTTCAAAGGCTGACTACGACATTGCAAATCGCCATCAGTTAGCATCGCACAATGTTTTGGTTTTTTTAGTGCAAGGCAGGAAAAACAAAAGCACGCTCTCATTTGCGTGTGTACACCGACAACAGGAAAAAACATACAGCTCTCCACAGGCTTCAGGTTCTGGTTAGTTTTGCCCTCGAGCTCAGCGGGTTTTACAAGGACTGCTGTAACCTGTGGCAGCGAGATGACTCGGGAGAGCCGAGTGACATCAAGGATCACTAGATCCTTGATGTCACTCGGCTCTCTGACCGGCACCGACCTGACAGCACGGAGCGACGACACGGGAAGAAATGAAGCTCCAAACTAATATGAAAGACTGTGATTGGTTTCCTGCTGGACAGTCAGTCCCGTCACTGTGTTAGATGCACATCTTTGTTCTGGGCGGTCCAACCAGCTTTAGTATAAAAAGCCTCTGTGGGTAACGAGCTTTTTAATACAACTACCTTCAATGACTATGAGAGTAACACTGTTGGATGATCTCTTTCCCCTGAACAGAAGAAGTGCAGTGACACTGCCTTCCTTTAAGAGTCTTTAACCCTGATAACTTTCCATTATTCCTGTGCGGTTGTGTCACAGCGTTCCTTACTGTGCCGAAAACATCCTACGAGCCTTAGCCCCTCCTAACTCTTCACAGCCGCACTGAAATGAAACTATTTAAAACATGTACTGCCAGACTTCCTCACCTCCCCAGAGAGCTTCACAAACTGCTGAATTCGAACCTGTTATTTAAGATGCATTCAACGTCAATTTTCCAGCCTACTGTGGAAGACAGGTAAGTACAAGGCCAGAGAAGGGATTAGTAGTGAGGGGAAAAAGGAAGGAAGGACACACAGACGGCACTGGATAGGAGAAAATGTGCCTACATAACCCAATTACTGTATGGCCCGAAAGCAAACGTAGGACACAGGCCAGGTAATCTCATCTTAATCATCTTCCTCCAATGTCAGCACAGTAGATTATAACACCAGAAACACACAGCCACGTGGCTCTGAGGCAGGGAACACTCCACAGATCAGGTTTTATTCACCTTAAATGAGGATTATTGTAAGGTAGCGTCATCAGTGCAAACACAGAGGTAATAAAACAGCTGTCGTGTCTGAGAAGCAAATAAAAGAGTCAGTTTTGTGTCACAGAGGCAAATCCCATCAGTGCAAGTGCTTTAAAATACAGAAGCTTCACAAATAATGCATTAGCTGTGCCTGCTCAGCTGACACCACAGCAGCTATGCTTGCTTTTTCTCTAATAACGCCAAGCTCTGCCCACGTGACAGCCTCACCACAACTGAATATGAACGCATCTGCGTGTAAATAACACGGCAGTGAAGTAACAATGCTAGTGTCACATCGACCGTCACGGATCCTGATGTGAGGAACACACAATACGGGATAAAGGCGGCCGTTTGCTGAGGGAAAGCCCGTGCAATGATGTCATGGCATACAGACCATCGCCTCCAGCGCATCGCGACAAACTTCATTTAAAAACTGGCAATTTACGCCGGCGTGTTCCGGCTTCAACATGACGGCATGATATTTTATCACACGGAGCATCCTCTGCTTTTCGGCACCAATTCCATCATATGGAAGCGCTAGCTAACAAACACACGCTTGGTTCATCTGCCATTACCCATTTCCCCCCCTGACAAGAACGCCGTATCATGCTGTTAGCAAAGAAGATCAGATGTATTTAGAGGAAATCACACAGTCGTGTTTATTAATGTGATATGATCCGAATAAAGATGCAAAGTCACAGTGATTGGTTCGAGTGTGTACCGCTGCTCTAAGACGTGCACACCTTCTTAGATAAATGCACGAATGAAAAATCGACGTATTGTTAATGGAGTTTGGCGTGTGACCGCTTGGCATCACTTTTCTCAGGCGCGGAGAGCTAGGGTTACTCACATGAAGGAATAAAACTGCGCCCCGGTCAGTTTCAGTGCGGTTCACCTGCTATATGACCCACACATGAGGCCACGTCCTCCGGACAGCGCTGACAAGGCGGCTGTGGCAGAGCTCCGCCGTGTCTGGCTCCACACACACCGAAGAGACACGGAGCTTCAACGCCGCGCTGACAGTTCAGCCGGGGTGCTGGGTACCGCTGCGGACCGCCGAACCGCTGGCGTCAGGTTACGCGAACAGTAACACGGCATTTCCGGTCTTGACTTTCAAAGTAAATCTCTATTAGCGTCAAGGGAACGTGCCACTGTTGAGAACATTTTCACTATTAAGGCCGATTTTAACTGAATATGAAAGTCCATAAAATACCTTAGAAGTGCAGTTTTACAATTAAACCCAGTTACGAAAAACAAATCGCTCTGAACTCTATTTTATTTTGAAGGTACATTTGTATGACTGACCGTGTCGTGGTTTACTTAACGAAGCTTTTCCTGCCCGCAGTGATGAACCACTGCGAGATTTGCGAGCAGTTTGTCACGGCAGCACATTTTATTGTTCGTCACTGTTCTCTGTGTCAATAATGCAGGTTAGATGCGACCGAGGAGAAAGTATTGAAACGGCCCGTGTCCACGTTAAAGCCAGGGATGGCGGTGAGAGAGCGATGCAGCTTATTAGTTTACCCAAACTAGGCGAACCTCAAAAAGATAAACTTTGGGACAAAAGTCAGAAATGACAAATATCCCTGTGCATCCACCGTCTGTCTGAATATCTTTCCACATAAAAACACTCACACTGATCGAGCATGGTGAAATATTTAAAGGAAAATCAGAGAGGTTCTTCTGGGATGGAAATGTGGGTTTGGAAATGGAAAACAGGGGCAGGAAATATGTGGCGGTTACCCTGTTAAATGGCAAAAAGATCCCCAGTTTGACGTCCTAATAGTGCTTTATTAATAAGCACTTGCTTTCATCTCATAATAGTGAAAAAAAGAGATTCAGCATGCAGCAGTGCCAATCTAAAACCACAACTGCATCCCCAGCCTTCAGCCTTGTCCTCAGAGCTGTCCAGCAGCCAAGTCACTGGGAGATAAAGGCCTTTCACTGGGAAGAATACAGAAGGCTGGGGAACAGGGACCAGAGGGGAAACCCAGGCAGGGAGGGCGCAGAGATGGGAGACAGCACACTGGAACTGGGAGCTTTATAAATAGCCTCTGAAAAGGATACTGTAACCCCAGCCATCAGCCACTTTAAGGAACCACAAAGCCGTCTGCTGGCCTCGCACTGAGATACAGGAAGTGCCAGCTGGATGAAAATCCAGCAAAGCTTGCAGAAACTAAACGAGACAGGTAAATGCGACGGACGCCGCTGCAATTTGTGACTCTTTGCTGGTCTTCAGTGGAGGATGTGACAGTGTGTGGCTGTCTGTCTCTCTGTCTTGCACAGAAACTGATGACATGTCCTCTCCGCCAGCGCCACGTGGGACAGGCTCCAACCCCCCTCCAAACCTGATAAACAGCTAAGGAAATGGAGGGCGGACTGACAGAGTGGTGCAAAGTGCACACGACTCTGGAGAATTGCATGAGGTTTGATTTTGCAAGACAATCATTACAAAGTGATGCAAGTTTTAGGATTCACAGAAGTAGGCCATAAACAACTAATATGCCAACCAGCGCCACCAGGCTGCTGACAACACCAAACGTCCCCTGTCTGCAGGACTCATTGCAGTGTTACCATGTATGTGTGGCAGCATGGTCCCGTTAGGGAGATCAGAAGTCCTCAGGAGCCCTGGACCAGCAGAACTGATTTAAAGCAGACTCAGAGATTTCGATCAGTAATTTTTCCTTCATTCACGTGTGTATGGAAAACAGACTGTATACTAAAGACAGAAGCAGGATCACCCATTGTTAGCATTTCCACACTGACCATCTCGGCGTTTTGCAGCAGTTTGTGACGAGGAAATAGCAACGAGCAGCGCTGACTGTGAAACGAAGGGAAGCTGCAGACTGATGGGCCGGCAGCATGTCAATCACAAGGTCACCATGACCTCATTGATCCTCTATTTGTAATCAGAAGGTTGCCGGTTCGAGCCCCGGCTCGGACAGTCTCGCTCGTTGTGTCCTTGGGCAAGACACTTCACCCGTTGCCTACTGGTGGTGGTCAGAGGGCCCGGTGGCGCCAGTGTCCGGCAGCCTCGCCTCTGTCAGTGCGCCCCAGGGTGGCTGTGGCTACGATGTAGCTGCCATCACCAGTGTGTGTGTGAGTGGGTGGATGACTGGATGTGTAAAGCGCTTTGGGGTCCTGAGGGACGAGTAAAGCTCTATACAAAAGCAGGCCATTTTTATTTTACTCTAATGGAATCTTTACCCGTTTACTCAAGTCACACATCAAGTAGGTCTGTGAGTCATTACAAAGAGTGCAGGTTTCATACTCATACAGCAGCTTCACATTTCAGACCCACAAACTGTCTCCATCTTCTGTGTACAGGTATACACGTTATGTGCTTGATGGAACGTGACATCCACGTGTGGTGCTTCAGTCTATCAGCTCTGTCCAGCCGTCACACCTGTACTGACTCTACCTGCACCATGAATCTGGAGAGATGCTCCGAGGTATCGTAAAGACAGGAAGTGACTACAGTTTGTTGATCCTAGAGCACAAACTGCATCTGTACATCGCAGAGATTCAGCCTAACCACACTCACGCTGACTCACAGCTGACACACACTAGTTCACACACAAAGATAACATGTGCCACTTTCAAGTCTTTTCAAGCTGACACGGCGGACATGCTGCGTTTATCATGGGAGTGGCATAAGCAATCTTCATCTGAACGCAACTCAGGAATGCGTAATTGGTACGTTTCTAAACAACGGAAGGCTTTCATTAGTGGATCAGGAAGTCCAGAGCAGGCAGCGTGCCTGTGTGCTATACTTATCCCCTGGTGGCACGCCGTGTCAACTGTGGGGGAGGACGGGGGACGAGATGCTGTGACAGATCCCTGGAAGTATAGCTTGCCAAGAGAAGGTACACTTACAGCTGTGGACACACACACACACACACACACACACACACACACACTTTGCCTGGAGACAGAGGAATGAGATGAAACATGCATGGTGTGAGCTCGGTCCCAGCTGGGCCCTGCTCAGGCTCTGGGCTCCAACAGACCCTCCAAGTGACGACGAGGGTCTGATAACAGAGCTGCAAACAGAACTCTGACCAATCTATGACTCTGCAAATATAAAATGTCTTTTTAATGAAACACCAACCAAAGTAACTGAGAGCAGCTGACGTTTGAAAAGCCAACAAACACACAAAGAAAAGTCTGCTGCTCCACTTGCTCCACCCTTGTGTGGAGTTTACTGCTGTACAAGCAGCCACCTGTAAACTACACCTCTCCACCTCCAGCACCCGCCTTTTTACCGTCTGCTCCTTTCATCCGTGCAGGCCGAGCTGAAAATGAGATTTCTTACGGGGGAAACGAGATCTTTCTGTTTCCTGGACAAAGTGCCAGTGCTGAGCTTTTCAAAGTGATTTGTGTTTGCGAGGTGTGGAGTCAGTGCTCCCGAGTAATAACAGTCAGGATATACTACGTATGTATGTGGAAACCCCACAATAACGACACAGTACCTGCACAGAGTCTGTAGTCCCCAGCAGAGACACTTCCTCCTTGGGGCATCATACTCTTCATCCTGAAGGCTTCCTCAGGGTGGTTGAAGCGAAAGAAGGCTGATTGGCCAAAACACAGCATGCAGCCTGGAACAGAAGCACATACATTTCATTTTCACCTGTGCTTAGTCATCACATCCCTGTACCCTGTAGCTCTGCCACGGGAAGCTAGCAGGTCACAGGTGTGCCACAATTATGTGCAGTTGTTTTAGGGTAGGTGGGGCTACAGGGGTGGGAACCTTTGGAGAACCGTTATCATTGTTATCATTGAATACTGTAAAGTATTTTTGCCCGAAATGCCCACCCCCCACGTCACCCGCCATGCAGGTCGAGAATCACAACCAATGTTTGTCTGCAATATCTCTGAAAACTCTCCAAAAATGTCTTTTATTGAACAGTTTCTGATGTATAAACTGCTAATAAAGAACTCCTGGTCCAGCTATGAGAGGAAAACGCTCAGCACAGCCACACATGCTTAGTGCGACCGGGACAAAAAAAGCAAGAGGTTTGCTGTTTGTTTGGGAACAAAGGCATCACTGCCATTCAGTAGATGGCACTAAGGCTTTAATGTGTGTGCTAATATGATGCTAAAGCTCAAAAACAAGTACCAAATCTTCATTTAAAGACTATAAAGAGCTAGCTTAGCAATTCATTAGCAGAAATACTCACTTCCCCACACTAACCAACAACTTTTAGTTTCTGACTGTTTCCTGTCTTATTTAAGACATGAACATTACAGGAATGAAGTGGACTGCTAACCATTTAGGAAGAGCCAACATAGTTTTATTCCACATTTACAGTCTTTATGCTAAGCTAGGCTAAAGTGTCAAATTCCTTAGGTAACATAAAAACCATCCATCATCCATCCATCTTCATCCACTTTATCCGAGGCCAGGCAGCAGCCTAAGCAAAGAGGCCCAGACCTCCCTCTCCCCAGCCACCTCCTCCAGCTTGTCCGGGGAACACCAAGGCGTTCCCAGGCCAGCCGAGAGATATAATCTCTCCAGCGTGTCCTGGGTCTGCCCCGGGGCCTCCTCCCGGTGGGACATGGCTGGAACACCGCGCCCAGGGGGCATCCTTGTCAGATGCCCGAACCACCTCTGCTGGCTCCTTTCGATGTGGAGGAGCAGCGAAGTAAAAGCGAAGCTCTCAATTTACCGGTCGATCTACGTCCCTACCCTCACCTATGGCCACGAGCTGTGGGTAGTGACCGAAAGAACGAGATCGCGGATACAAGCGGCAGAAATGAGCTTCCTCCGAAGGGTGGCTGGCCTCTCCCTTAGAGATAGGGTGAGAAGTTCAGCCATCAGGGAGGGGCTCAGAGTAGAACATAAACACCAATCTAAATTTAAAAAGTAAACAACATTTTCCTCAAATATATTTCCTTTGACATGCAGTGAAGTACAGGAACAAAGTAGTACAAACAGTAAGCATATCTGTGTGTGTACTAATAAATATGCTGCGACTTTCCACCACAGCCCGACTCATTCCTAATATTTCACATACAGACGTGAGCAGCATCGTAACGCTCACAGAGACTGGAAACAAACTATCCCTGAGAAACTGCTGATGCGTCTCATAGCAGCATCCAGTCTGAGCACAGAGCGCACATGACCGTTTGAATCGCCAACACAGACGTAAGTAAGGTGAACACGAGGCGTCCGAGTTGTTCTGACAGCATCAGGAACGAGCTCACAGACGCTGTGCTGACTCAACCATCATCCACACAGGGCAGAGGGCACACCGTCCTCTGGCACGGTGCAAACGGGCCACTGATGACACTTAAACCTGATATAGCTGGATGAAGACTGCAGAAAACAAAGTACAGAAAAGATCTGAGACATGTCCAAGTTCAGGAGACACATCTGTACAAACTGTCAGGACGGTTTCTCTGCTTTCTGGGAAGCAGGAAGGCACATCGGAACTACAAAGATTCAAAATATATCTAAATAGTTCCCAACTTCAAAACGTCTGACTTCTCGTCACATCGGTTTACACAGCAGAACAATCTGATCTGCCTCTGCCTGACATCCTGTTTCTGCAGGAGCTACGTCCAATTAAAGAGATAAGATGATAAAATGCCGTTTCAGCAGATCCACGATAAACAAAGTCTGGTCAGAATAATTCTATAAAGAAAACTTCACAAAATTCACATCCATTGCCCTGAGCAGCTATATTCTAGCTGCAACACGCTACAAGCTAACGGGCCGGTCACAAAATGTATGAATCACAGTGCAGTCCAATAAGCTTTAAACACAGCGGTACCGCCGTGTCCTGGTGAGAGCTCAGTGTTGCTCTCACACTCACTTTTTAATGGTTGTACTGGAATTAGTTGAACCTGCTGCAGGTTCTGGCTGGGGTCCGCGTCCTGCCTTATAAAGGACGTCCATCACCAAATGGACTCTTCTCCAGGAGACACTTGTTGCACAAGTTAATGTGTGAAATGCTGTGTTAGAAAAGACTGAACGAACACTAGTCCTGCTGAACTCTGCAGCTCCCAGGTGGCTCAGGACTAACAGGTGCCTGTCTAATGCATTTACACAGATTTCCATTGTCAGAGTAAAAATGTGCAGCAATGGTTGTTTGACTTTGTCCACCAAACTCAGAGCCGTCCTGTGTTCGGGTGAATGTGTCTGCTACAGTGTGATGCAGCGTTTCACTCAGATGGAACCAGCGCCACACACTCCCCAGCTCTGTGTGGTGATATCAATCACATCCACCTATCTGGTTTGAACATCAGAGTACATCATTCACAGAACTCATTCAGCTCCTTCATGTGCCATGAGCCCGATAACAGATCAGCAGTCGCACGTTTATGGTTTTCTCAATACGGCACCATTATGTCCTGCTGACATGACGAGGGAAAGGTCTTCCAGGCCAGCCGGAGATAAGATCCCTGCCTGTCGTTGTGAGGCCTGAGGTAAAAACAGGAAATGCTGCTGTGATGGACGACAGAGCCAGATTGGCCTTTTATTATGGAGAGACACACACGCTGACAGCCTGGGGAAAAACACCTGATTACATCCTGAGCCGTGGGTGAGGCCTGATGGAAAACAGGTGCAGACTGCTGCTAACATGAGCTTAGCACAGAGGGGTCAATGCCACCGCAAAAAACAACAACCTGTGTAGAACGGTGCATGGACTGCTTCTTACACAGCACGCTTCTACAACTGTCTATGCAAGTGCTTCTAATATTCATACTCTGATGGACGCATCGCAGAGGAACTTGGGGTTAGCATCTTGTCCAAGATATTTGGCATGTAGACTAGAGCAGACGGGGATCGAACCACCAACCTTCAGCTACAGCCCTAGAATACATTTACTTCTCTTTTTCTCGTTTGCATGTCATAGGCTGGTAACAACTATTAAAGTCTGGCTGTAAGCCACTCGAACATGGCAGAAGCATAGATGTATATGCTGTGGTCAAGTCAACATTCATGTTTTACATGAAATAATACTGTAACGTCAGAAGCAGCCACATTTGAATGGCAAGGTGGAGTGCTAAGCTAGCAGCTAACGCAGCAAGCTTTGTTAGCTGCTGGTTATGGACCAGCCTCTAGTGGCCATTAAAGGAACTGCAGGAGGTTGCTGTTTGGCAGAAGATCCCTGTTTAACTACTGCAGCATGAATAGTACCAGTTATACTCTAATCGTTTACACACTAAATTTCAATGTAAAAACATAGAAAGCATCGTCCCTGTAATAAAAATGATTCCTGTACTGTAAAATAACATGTTGATGCTAAATGCTAATAATGATATTTATATTAGTGCTATAAAATAAGATAAGATAAGATAACCTTTATTAGTCCCACACGTGGGAAATTTGTTTTGTCACAGCAGGAAGTGGACAGTGCAAAAGTTATGAGGCAAAAATTAGAATACAATAAGAATAAATACAGTACACAACTGTACAGAATAGAATAAAATAAAATACTATATACAGTAGAATAAAATAAAATAAATATACAATAAGATAAAAATAGAATACAAATACAAATACTATATACAACTGAGTAAAAACACAACGATGACAGAAAGGATTATTGCACTTAGTATTATTGCATATGTATGGATGTGTGTGCTTGATCAGTTAAAGTCTTTATTATGGAGTCTGACAGCAGTGGGGAGGAAAGACCTGCGAAATCTCTCCGTCCCACACCGTGGGTGCCGCAGTCTCCCACTGAAGGAGCTGCTCAGTGCTGTCACAGTCTGCTGCATGGGGTGGGAGATGTTGTCCATCAGGGATGACAGCTTAGCCGCCGTTCTCCTGTCACTCACCACCTCCACTGGGTCCAGAGGGCATCCTAGAACAGAGCTGGCCCTTCGGATCACCCTGTTCAGTCTCTTCCTGTCCCCAGCAGAGATGCTGCCGCCCCAGCAGACCACACCATAAAAGATAGCAGAAGCCACAACAGAGTCATAGAAGGTCTTCAGGAGTGGGCCCTCCACCCCAAACGACCTGAGTCTCCGCAGTAGGTACAGCCTGCTCTGCCCTTTCCTGTAGAGGGCATCTGAGTTATGAGTCCAGTCCAGTCTGTTGTTCAGATGAACACCAAGGTACCTGTAGCTGTCCACAGCCTCAATGTCCATACCCTGGATGTTCAGTGGTTGCAGTGGAGAATGCTTGTGCCTGCGGAAGTCTACCACCAGTTCCTTGGTTTTACTGGCGTTGATCTGGAGGTAGTTCAGCTGGCACCAGTCCACAAAGTCTTGGGTCAGACCTCTGTACTCCTTGTCGTCCCCATCAGTGATGAGGCCGACTATTGCAGAGTCATCAGAGAACTTCTGCAGGAAGCACCGGGTGGAATTGTGGGAGAAGTCTGCAGTGTAGATGGTGAAGAGGAACGGAGCCAGAACCGTTCCCTGTGGGGCCCCCGTACTGCAGACGACCCTGTCCGACACACAGCCCTGAGTCCTCACATACTGTGGTCGGTCGGTGAGGTAGTCCAGGATCCAGGTAGTGAGGTGATGGTCCACTCCAGAGTTCACCAGCTTGTCCTTTAGAACCGAGGGAAGAATAGTGTTGAAGGCACTGGAGAAATCAAAGAACATGATTCTCACAGTGCTTCCAGCGGTCTCCAGGTGA